ATGGCAGGTGAACAGGAAGCAACTTAATCTACTTCACTGCTGCCTTTGAAGATGGTTCAGAAGCTGCAAGGTCTGAAGTAGAATGCTATTTTTGGTCTGCTTGCAGGGGCTGCCCGGTTCAAGGTGGTGTTTAAACTGTAAGGCCTTACATTGCTTGGGAATGCAATAACTGAGCCTTTACTGCCATGAACTTACCTGTACACTAGGATAGTCATTTAAAGCCCTCCTCCAGGTGTTTCTTCCAAGGGAGGTTCAGAAAGTGCCAAAGGGAGAGGGTTTTTTCCGTGGTGACCCTCCAGTTACCAATATCCCCAGTGAGGCCCATCTGACACCAATATGGTTATCTTTTTAGTATCAGTTTAAGGCCCTCTCAGGCATTTGGCAGCTTATCATGAGGTTCTAATCAGGTCCCGGACATTTCTAATTTGTTAGATATATGTGTATTGTTGTCTGTACTATCTGTTTATGCATCTGCATCTAAATTTTCTTAATATCACATATAAGCTTTTTTAATATTTGTGAAGTGCCCAGAAAGTTCTGGCTACTGAGAAGTATAGAAAGTAATCAGTGAAATGATGAGCAATGCTAGGAAGCTCTAGGGCAGGGGTCCTCAAACTTTTTCAACAGGGGGCCAGTTGAAAGGTGCCGGTGGGGGGGGAGCAGTGCGGAGGGAGGTGTGCACGCGGTGAGGTGGGGGGGCACGTGGGGCAAGGCAGCAGCTTGCTCGCGTGGAGATCATTTTCTCCGAGTGAGTCCAAAACAATCTCCGCGCAAGCAAGCCGCCACCGGGCACGTGCACGGTGAGGTGCCGGCTTGCTCTCGCGGAGATCATTTTCTTTGAGTCCAAAACAATCTCCGCACGAGCAAGCCGCTGCCTCACTGCACACGGCGAGTCCAAAACCTCTGAGGCGGGCCGAATAAATGGGCATGGCGGGCCGGATCCAGCCCGCGGGCCATAGTTTGAGGACCCATTCCCTAGGGATTGGCAGATGAGGCCATTCTGGGCACTGGTAATAGTGCCAACCCTTGACTTACACCTGCTATGACACTTTCTTAAGGCTATACTTCTATCAGTGTGGGAGATTCTTCTGTGAGTTTGCAATATGTTGTACCTGGGACAATTTTATTCTTATCTCAGTTTGTGAATCCATTGCTCTTTCGATTGCTATGTAGACTGTAGGTAAGGAAAACTTCCAGTGGGAATTTGTTAGCCTGAACTTTCCTAAAACTTGTTATCTGTCTCTTTTTGGAGACCTTTATTTGTGGACTATCTTCATTTCTAATTATCCCTCCACCTGCCTTCTATTAACATGAAACACACTGACTGCAATCCAGGAAGAAAATCCCTTGTGTACACACTGATTTCCGTTTCTGGATTATGTAAAATGTTGCTGGGGATGGGAATTCCCCACATTCTATGCCCAAAGTTCTATGTTTAACAATCCTGTACACCATGCATGTCATCAGTTCAATAGGAATGACTGGCTTCAGCAGCAAGAGAGGCAGGTTGGTGGGTGCGCACAAGGATATTTCTGCGGCATTCATTTCTCTACATAAGTAGAAATCAGTTGCATTGGTGCCAGTGGAATGTACGTCTGCATCCAATGGGTTTAAGAGCACAGTTTCCATTAGAGATATACAGATGGGTCAAAAAAGAAAGATTATGGGATATATCTTACTCAACTAGACTTTGCATACAGATGAGTTATCAAAGTTATTAAAAACAACTGAAAATCATTACAGCTGTATATAAGGAAGCATCTTTCTCATTATTGCTATTGTGGCTTTGTCTCCAGTATGTCCTGCTTCAGTAATTTGTTAACTGTACAAATGGTAATGAAGGAGAAGGTAACTTTACATTGCATGGAGCTTTGTTCTAGGGAATGGCTCAATTGTTTAAAGGATGAGATTGCTTTTCTTTAGCACAAGAGAATGTGCACCTGTCCAAAAGTAAAATGGATATTATTATTATGTGACAAAGTATTACAAAGATCATGGTCACCTTACACCATTTTGGATTTATATAAGCTTTATTCTCATTCTTACTCAGGGCAGACAAGAGAAAAATATTTCTTCAAATGATCTTTAATCAAGAGCAGGAGAGTGGAAAGTGAGGAGAGGAATTGAAAAAGCAGGACAGAAACCAAATGAATTGCAAGACAGTCAAATTATATAGATCCCTGCATCATATCATCAGAAACAAATGAGGACAAAGTGAGAAAAGAGACATTTCCAAATGAACAGAATCCAAAAAACACAAGGAAAACCAAGTAAAGAACAGGAGAAAATAATCCTGTATTTCTCACAATATTGGAAACCATATGCCTTGATTCCAGAAGTTCAGAAAAGAGGAAGGAAAAATGGTCTAGCATGTCACAAACTCACAAAAAATCAATGAAAAAATCAATCCAAATTGTAGAAACTCCAAAGACTGAATGAATATGCAGAATGCTGAATGAGGTCCTTGCAGGCACAAGGGTACCTTGCTCGCTTTTAAAGAACTAGCTCTGTGCAAAAGGCAGATGGACATGTGTACTGTGGAAAGAGTCTCAGAGAGGGGAGATGTCTTGATAGGCAACAGTGATCCAACAATTGAGGAACCCTATCGAATCATGGAACGCAGGGAGAGCATAAGGGCTGGTGGAAGGCTTACAGAGGATAAAGGACCCCAGCCTGGAGAGCAGCCATATAAATGCATGGAATATTGTAAGAGCTTCAGTGATCCAGGAAATGTTTCTAGATACCAAAGAAACCATAAAGGGGAGATACCAAACAAATCCAAGGAATGTGGAAAAAGCTCCCATGCAAGTAGAGGTTTTACTAAACTTCAAAGAACCCACACTGGGGAGAAGCTACACACCTGCAGGGGATCTGGACAGAGTTTCAGTCAGATTGGAAATCTTGCTAAGCATCAAAGACCCCAGACTGGGGAGAAGTAATATATCTGCATGGAATGTGGAAAGAGCTTCAGTTAGAGTGGAAATCTTACAAAGCATCAAAGAACACACATTGGGGAGAAGACATACACTTGCATAGAATGTGGAAAGAGCTTCAGTTGGAATGAAGGCCTTACTCAACATCAAAGATGCCACACAGGGGAGAAACCATACAAGTGCATGGAATGTGGAAAGAGCTTCAGTCAGAGTGGACATCTTATAAGGCATCAAAGAATGCACACTGGGGAGAAGCCATACACATGCATGGAATGTGGAAAGAGCTTCAGTCAGATTGGAAACCTTACTCAACATCAAAGAACCCATATTGGGGAGAAGCTGTAACCATGCATGGAATATGGAAAGAACTTCAGTTTGAGTGGTGACCTTACTCGACATCACAGAACCCACAATGGGGAGAAGCTAGACTCATGCATGGATTTTTTTTTTCTCCTCTTTCTTTTTGGCCTTGCCTCTCCTTTAGTTTTGAACAGTTGTTATTATTGAATGTTTTAATTGTATTTTATATTACTATTTTAACCTTTTATAAGCAGTCCTGAGGTTGTCGCAAGGGATGAGATAAAAATGTTTTAAATAAATAAATATATGGAATTCACAGCCACAAGATGTGATACATGGCTTGCACCTCTGGCCTAGATGCAGGGCAGGCTCCAAGTTTATGAGGCCCTTTTGAAACCCTCAGTAGACCACCCACCCGCTCAGTACATCTACTTTTCCTGTCTATATTTATATAGGAATGTACCCTTAAGGTGCAATCTAAGTCATGAGCTAGATTAATTGCATGCACTGAAAGTCAATCTTTTTGTCGCATATAATTCTTCTTTCACAATTGCTGCTGAAGGATAAGCAACATCACAAATCTGAAGAGAGTATGTATGCAAACTAGGCTGCTGACTGCTGAAAACAACCTGATTTTATCTCTGTTCATTTGGATTGATACATAACCAATTGTTTAGGTCAGTGGCATGGTTTTATTAGTTGATATTTAATCCAAATGGAATAACAACATATCTCTTCAGTGCTGTATTGTTGAACAGTATGATTTTATTCACATGATCAGATGAAGGTCAACTAAGATGCACAATTATTGCAAGCACTTGATGTTAGAGTTTTTAACTTTTCTATTGTACTTTTGACCATCCTAAGAACGATAATAATAATAATATAATAATAATAATAATAATAATTTCAGCTTTGTTTCCATTTTTCACTTTATTTCCATTGTGCTAAATACCTATCTCAACTCAAAAGAATAAAGATACTTTTAAAAAACAGCATAACTTTATACATTCTCAGGATTATGAAGTAGCCCCATCTGGGGTACCTCTAAATAATATAGATTTAGCAAGTACATAGTGTTGATAGCAAGCACAACAAAGAGTCAGAGCTATGGATGAAAAGGTCTAGCTGGTTTATCATCACCTTAAAGGCAACAGAGTGCGAGACAGTAAGGGAAGCAATTTTGGGGGGAATTTGGTTAGTTAAAAAGCTTCAGGCTTCATGTTTACCATATGACAAGTACAGTGTTTTTATAGGGTCACCTCCTTTCTTCAGCCAGTTTCCACTGTGGCATGTATTAGCAGCATAGGAGAAAACACACATATCCGCCATAAATAAATAAATGCGCAATACTAGAACACTTGCCAGAACAAACTTTTGATGTATACACAATGCCTGAAAGCACCCATCATATTCGTGTTATATCAGCTTGGTCTGATTTGCAAGGAGACTGTGGATGTACCTCCATCAAAGACTTAAATTGGTTTGGCAGTTGTCCCCTCTCAGAAAATCCTAATGATAGTAGAACTCCCAATACCTTTACTATACTACAATCCAGATAAAACTGATAGATGTTTGCGGTGTGGATATATATGGCTCCACATGATTCATGCTACACCTGAAACCCAAAGGCCACAATCTAAACCAGGGGTCTCAAACTC